CAGTTTGTTCATCACTTTAGCCTTCCTGACATTATCTCTGCAGTTCCTTGCTACTCATTTTCTTCAATTGTAGCATGATCTTCTTCCACCCTCATACAAGTCCCTTTTTGTTTCTGGATTATCTCTTAGCTTTTTGTGAAGCCACATGGGCTTCCTCTGTAGCCTACTACTCCTTTTCCTTATTTGAATCGACTGTAGTTGTGCTTTAAGCATTTCTTTTATGATATCCTACCGTTCTTGTGCTCCTTTTCCCTTAGAGTGGCTTGCCATGGGACTTTGTTTATCATCCTGAATGTGTTAAAGTTGACTTTTTTGACATCCAGGATACATGTTTCACTACAGTTAGTTTTAGCTTCCTTTATTACTGAAAATTCAAGTAAGGCATGATTGCATTCTCCCAGAGTTCTCGTAACAGTCACTTGGTCCACTATGACTTCCTGTTGGTTAGTGTAACGTCAAGGACAGCCATTCCTTCCTCCACTTTCTATAGGAGAACATTATTAGCAACACATGTTAAGATTTTTTTGGAGGGGCCATGTTTGGCAGAATTTGTCTCCCAACAGATATTGGGGAAATTGAAGTCCCCCATAATGATGACATCATGCCTCTTTAAATACTTGCAATTTGCTTTTTCAAAGCTCCATTCATACCCTTTCCTTGAGTGGGTGGTTCTAGCCATGAATGTTTCTAACCACAATACTTATCTTGCAGAATAGAATGTTACTTTCCAAAGTACACTAGGAGTTTATGCTGTAATCCTAAACATACACATTAGAGTGTAAGTCCCATTGAACTAAACAGGACTTCTAAATAAATATGCATAGAATTACAATGCAGAAGTTTACTTGCATTGCAGATTACTGGCCTTTGTGAATTCCTTTAATGGTCATAATGTTATCATGCCTGTACAAGTGCTGCAGACAAGGTGTACAAAGAGTGACTTAAGGCATCTTACATGATCAATGCACCAGGTACTTCAGCCAAAAGGTTCAATTTCAAATGTAAAAGGTTTCCATTATGTCTGTTCAGTTTTATACTGTATCAAAACATATTTTTGAATTTGTGCATTTTTACTGGGAACAGCAACATCAATTAAAGAATTCACAAAATATAGGCAGGTGCTACTAATTCACAAAATTCACGAAATATGAGATGACTTTGTACATTACTCTGCAACTGTGATGCCTCATATACTAAATCAACATATAAAGCCAATAATATGAAAATAGTATACTGCTAATACCAAAATGTTGTGATTTCAAGCATCTCTAACGATTTTTAAACTTCTCATTCACACCAAATTGGACATTTTTCTCATTGAATCTAGGACCTACTTGCTAATTTTCCAAATGACTATTGATATTTGCAAGATATCATAATATCTATATGTATTCTTATTTGGTCTTATAAATATTTACAATATGACATATTCACAATTAACATGTGAATGTATCGTATTGTCCACAAAAAAATAAAAATAAAAACTACAACAACAACTACCACCCCCACTTTTTTTATTATTTCTACACTAAAATGGGTGTTTTCACTTAAGGAATGTATAAATTTCTTTGACAAGAAGACATCTCCATGCCAAGTGATATGTTTCATAAGAGAAGATGTATGTTGAAATCTGATACTTTCCCTCAGCCAAAACTGGGAAAAGTTCTTTCTACAAAAAACAGCCACTACCAGAACTAGCAGCAGTTGGTCTTTAAAGTGGAAATTCCTAGCTTTCAAAAGCAAGTTGTTTTTTAAAAGCTGAATTACAAATCATAGTCCACCGTTCTCCATACTTCTTCATGACTTTTTAAAAATTGGCCCACTCAGCCAAACTTTGCTGTCTCCCATCTTACCCTGGTACAAGAGACAGAAACCTTCCTTCTTGCAATCAATTGCATGCCTCTGCTTAAGAGGGAGGTGAATTATCTGACTCGGACATTGTGATGCAGATGACTTGGATGAGGGCATCTATACACCAAGCACAGCCAGTTAGCTGATCTGTTCAATAGTAAACAGTACAGGTGCCTGAACAATCCCCTAGATCTATCTTAGAGCTGGAGACAACCATCACTGAACAGTAAGCAAGCATGCAAACAAGAAATTCCCCTGAAATCTCCACCCAGGTTGCCTGAACCAGAAGAGATATAAGCCATTGAGAAAGTAAGTGTGGAAGCTTTCATGTCCCAGCACAAGTGCCAGGAGCAAGTCTCCCTGGAAGTAAGAGAGCTTGCAGCAGGCCCAGGAAAGATTGGCCAAAGTTTATCCAGTGCAGGCACACATGTGTGGATGCCTAGCCAAAGTGCATTGGGGAGACATCCTGCTAAAGGCACCAGGAACACCAGAAGTGATGAAGTAGGTCTCCTAGGAACCGGGTAGGCAATTTAGCATAAGGCTCTGCTGCTGGACTGTATTTTCTTGTTTTGATCTTTGCCACTGATTTGTTGCTTTGAACTCCTTATTTCTCCTACATTGAAACTGATGTGCTCCTTGAACTGTTCTGTTGGTATGGGCTCAGAATCAGACCAAACCTTTTCCCTTTCTGTCCCTTTCCCCGAATCCTTAGTAAACCTTTTACCCTGTTTCTACCAAAACCCAGATAGTGTGCTTTCCAAGTAAAAGGGGGTGATTCACAAGAGGTATGCCTAGTTTTTGCATTATGATATGCTGTAGTAACACCTATGTTGCATGCAATGTGCTAACTACAACCTGAAATCTAGCTGGCTCCCTTAAAGGATACAAGTGGGCAGCAAAGAAGCCCAACACAAACAATCCTGTGGCATTCTAGTCATCCCAAAGGGGTCATGAATGCCTGGGAACTTGAGGAGATTGGGTTTATTCTACTCTCAAATGGTGGCAGCCAGTAGCAGTGGGCCCTGTTGCACCAGAGTACAGACTCTCAGATGTGTTTGCCCAAGCTCTGAAATGCATTTCCAAATCAAGTTTGTGTGGCTTGTTTTAATACCTTTTAGGGGCTGGCAAAGGGATGTACTTACTTGCACAGATTGCTCTTCAAATCTGTTACTCTTAGGTGGCATTCAGACATCACACTAAGGCACCCTGCAAATAAGCTGCAAAGTGTGGATTGTTGACAGAACAACCCAAGGTGGACCTGTCAGATGATCAAGCTAACTGGAGCTTGCTCTCCCCTTCCTTTCCCCTCCATCTTCCTGACAGTATCCTCCAACGTCCTTCACAGCGGAGCCCTTCTTATCTCCTCTGCCCTGCTATAATCACTACCCCTTTTCATTCACCACTTAGAGGGCAGGTTGGGGCTTTTTCAAGGGCTCACAAAAGCAGAGTTAATTGTGTGTTTATTAAAATATTTTTGACTTAGTAAATTGTACAATTGTGCCCATAGGTTTTTTATATTTATTATTTCTGTTGAACTTTTGCAAGTACACTCCTGTGCATTTGCAAATTTCACTATGTAAAATTTTGCTGGCCAATCTGCTTGCCTGTTTCAGCTAACAGAGGAGTAGGTAACAGATAGACAAGGAAATAATGTATACAGACTAATTTCTTCATAGCCGCCAGAGACCTATTGACTCCAGTCAACTGAAAAGCATCAATAAAGGGTAGAAAGTGGCAAGCATCTCTGAGTCTCCAGCTACTCCAGAAAGAAGAGCTATTAACTACCCTCACCCTTTCAAATAACTTATTGCTACAGTTACTATAGTTTACTGCGAGTTCTTTAAAAAGCACAGAAATACAAAAAGATGTGATTGGGAAGTAAATAGAGGGGACATTTGCATACATTTAAGTGCTGGGAAGTTAAATGGAAGGTGATTTGGACACTTGCAGGAACAGAGCATGATCACTTGAAGATGAGTGTTACTGAAAACGACAAAAGCCTGTTTCAGACAGTTTTCTAGGAAGCAATGCAATATGTCAGGTGGAGCAAGTGTGCACCTGTTTTCTCTACAGGTGGAGGCCAACAGGACACTTATTGATGTGATTCTTCCCTCTTAGAAAAGTCAACAGATGGATGAATCCACATGGAACACTCATATCCCTTTCATCACTGGACAGATAAAGAGCTGGCATAAGTTACAAGTCTGCTCTCAAGACTTTATTCCCATACTAAAGAATTTCTAATTTCTGTGCTCAAACAGTGTTTAAATTTCAGTACCACATATATTGTATCTTCCATTTTGAACCAAACATGTGCTAAAACAATTTCTTAATTTTGATGGGAACCAGCATGATTTAATTACTGTAACTGTTCATTATGGCCGAGGAAAATCCAGATTCAAACCACTGTTCAATCACTTGTGCAAACCACCTTACCCTAAACATTGTGTTTAAAATTTTTAGCTTCTACAATTAAAAAATATGTATATAGCAATATTATGAAATTATAATACATTATAATTCAGTGTTGCCTAAGAATAGGCTGTACAAGACAAGACGCTCACATACCTTACAGAAGGAGCAAACATTCGGAGCAAGAATCCCTTTCCCTTCCAAAATATATGACTGAAATCTTTTACCAAAATGCATCTTCACTGACAAAACCGAAGAAAAGCTTTCTTAATTAGCCCCATTATCTTCTCCTCCCACACAGACCTCCCAGGAAATAAAAGAACAAGTTGAGTGAATCCTGACTGTCCCAAACAGGAAGAGATCGTATTTCCCTCCCACCTCTCAATGATAAATAGCCCCCTCCTTCCATCCCCAACAAGGGAGAGCCATTGCTTCCTTCTCGTTCCCCTCACTTCCAGGTCGTCCCTCCACCCACCCCCTCAAGTTCCAGGAAGGCCGATGCGTCCTCACGGACGATGGGTGACGTTTGGGCAGCAAGTTTCGCACGCAACGCGCCACCCAGGCCCGTCTTAGGACCTTCGTCCCACCGACTGTAACTAACTTGTGGGAAGCAGAAGCACAGAGGTAGGCAGCACCCGCGCAACAAGTTCCCGGCCGGGCCCGGACTCCTCTCCTCCGGCCTCCTCCTCCTCCTCCTCCCTCCATCCCCCTCGTCGCCGCCCGCAGCTTTCACTCACCTCCGCCATGTTCGCCGCGCAGCCGGGGCGGGCCGAGCCAGGAGAGGATAGTCACATCGCCACCGAAGCGGAGGAGGAGGAAATGGCACGCAAGGGCAACAGAAGCGGCGACACGGTTGCGGGTCACGGTCTCTGAGGCGGCAGTGGTGGAGGGAAGAAGGCGGAGGGAGCAGGCAGCCACCAGGGGGAGAGTCAGAAAAACGTCACCGCGCAAAGGAGGTGGGCGCGCCCGCAACACCGCCTCTCCGCCCCGCCCCGCCCCTTCCCTTGCCTCGCGCTTCTTTCTCTGCGAGCGGCTCGGCTAGTCACGAGACGAGGTTCCCTGGAAGGGGTCTCCCCCTGCTCCGCCCTCAGAACGGAATAAACCGAGCCTTTGGGCACTAGATAGAAGGGTGGGTTCGTGGTCGCTGGACACTTAAAAAAAAATTAGATGTAATGGAACTCCGGTCACGAGCCAATAGAAGATTCCGTCTCCCCAGAGCTGGCAGACAACCGAATTTACAGAGTGGACCCGCCGAAGTTGGCGATTTAAGAGTGCCTGGTGCGGGAGAAAGCTTTGCGCTGCCCTTGAATGATGTCTCTTCCGCCGACCCGCGCCCTGACTCGGTGGATGTTTTCCAACACACTTCTCTCCAGGGGTCAAAGAATCGGATCAAAACTGCCTCCTGCTCTATTTTACATAATAAACGTTATTCGAACGAGCTTGTGCACTGAATATATTTGATGCACGCACAAGGTCCGCACCTGTTGTCCGTTACTCCCTGAAGGGCGAGGGAATTTTATTACATATATACCCCCTTTTTTCCTCTTTCAAGGTTATTCTCCATTCTGGTGTAGCCTCACAACAATCCTGTGAGGTAGGCTGGGGTGAGCGAGCGACTGGCCCGAAGTCTTCCACCGAGCTCCAAGGCTGAGTGGGCACTAGAGCTGCATCGCCACATCCAGCGTCCAGCGCTCTGAACCGCGGCCTGGAGGCTAGGGACAAGATTAAATTCATTTTCCCCAATTCCAGGGCCAGATCCGTCCCCTGCATCCCCGGCTGCTTTTTACCTTATAAAAGCAAAACTGGAAAGGGTTTAATTGGGACCATGGCGCGTTAAAGCCTCCCCTTCCTGCCTGGACGCCACTGTCCCACTCCTTATGGTCTCCCGCCCCTGTTGCTATTGAAATTTAAGTGAATAGGCAGATACGTGAAGAACTTCACGTCTAGTCTAGTCCGGCTCTTAATGAGCAATACACATGTATGACGTGTGTGACAGAGAGAAAAAGAAATGCAGGAACAGGAAGTTATGCTATCTTGCATGCATTTTGTTTCTGAAGAGTAGCAGTCTACAATGTAATGAATTTCAACCTCCAAACAGTGAATTTCAAGTTTCCTGCAGGAAGGAAATGTCACAACAGCTTCTAAGAGCTTATTACCCTCTTAGGGTAATTAGTTCTGTAGGGATGGACTAAAATGGTCAAGTTTTTATCTAAAAGTAGTGATGGAGCTAATTGAATCTAATACTTATAGGCAGAACAGGGGCAGCTCCAGGGGATAGATGTTTTTTGGACTGGGAAGATGTTTTTTGGACTGGGAGAGAAAACCTGTCAGCGTCTTTACTACCTTTTAGGCTCTCACTACTGCTTATGTTTTCTGGCCAAACCAGTAAAACAACATTAAACAATACAGAATGGATTTGGGGGACAATTTCCCATCATGACCAAATCAGGAGATTTGTACAGAAGGTGACATACAGCACCACCTAGGACAATTTCTGAAAAATCTGTGTGTGATGCTGACTTGTCAGCCCCTAATGTCAGTGCAGAGGCAACACATCATCATCATCATCATCATCATCATCATCATCATCATTTCTATACAGCCTCTTTGGGAAGTTTACAGCAAAGTCTAAAAACAGTAAAAGACGGAGACGGAGGTCCTGTTGGTTGGCGGATTGGGCTTCGGAGAGGGTGGATTTGATCTGGTCCTGAATGGTGCAACACTCCCTCTTAGGGACAAGGTCCGCAGCTTAGGAGTACTCCTCGACCCGGAGCTTTCTTTGGAAGCTCAGGTGACAGCGGTGGCGAGGAGCGCCTTCCTTCAGCTTCGGCTGATTAATCAGCTGCGCCTCTACCTGGAGTACGACTGCCTGGCGACGGTGACACACGCGCTGGTGACTTCCCGCCTAGACTTCTGTAACGCGCTTTACGTGGGGCTTCCCCTGAAGACGGTCCGAACACTTCAATTGGTGCAAAATAGAGCTGCCAGGTTGCTGACGGGGACGGGGCGTTATGCTCACATGACTCCAGTCCTCCGTCAGCTTCACTGGCTTCCCATTGAAGCCCGGGCCCAATTCAAGGTGTTGGTTATGACCTATAAAGCCCTAAACGGCTTGGGTCCTGGCTACCTGACCGAGCGCTTACGTCCGTATATGCCCGACCGCCCCTTGAGATCTGCGGGAGAGTTCCTTCTCCGGGAACCCTCCATGAAAGAAATTAGGAGAGTAAGTACTCGGAGGAGGGCTTTCTCTGCGGTGGCGCCCAACCTATGGAATTCACTCCCCAAAGAGGTCCGCCTGGCACCGTCGTTACTGGTTTTTCGGCGCAAGGTAAAGACATTTTTATTTAAACATCATTTTAATTGTTAAAATATATGATCTGGCCAGGGCAACGTCTTCTTCTTTCTCTTTTCTCCTCCTATATTCTTATTTACTTATTTTATACTGTTAATTTTAATTTTATATTATTATGTTTGTATCTCAGTGTATTTTTTGTATTTTTGTATTTAGTGGTAATTTATTATGTTCTATTGTATTTCAATGTATTTTATTGTGTTGTAAGCCGCCCCGAGGCTTTGGCAAGGGGCGGCATAGAAATGTAATAATAATAATAATAATAATAATAATAATAATAATAATAATAATAATATAAAAATGGATAAAAAGAATTAAATAATAGCATAAAACATCAAAACAATAAAAAGACAATACAAAAGACAATTAGAAAGACCCAGCTAAGAGTAAAAGGCACCTGGCTAATTGTTAAAAGGTCTCTACAAGTGTGCTAAAAAGATGGCAAATTATGTCCTTTGTCAGAGGTGTATAAGAAGAAGGTATTTCAGACTTTGACTACACTGGCAGGGATGTCTGGGGTGTCTGATCTTCTTTCCCTTCCACATTCTATAAAATCCTACACGGGTAGGCCAAAATTGTACAGTTGATTAGCCTGTATCTAGGTTTGGTTTGTTTGTTTATTGAACAGTAACTGTAATTCATACCACATGGGGCTGGTTAAGACTTTACAGATATCCTCCAAACTGGTGAAGCTTCTTCCAGGCCGGTTCCTGGTGGGGATTGGTGTCTCGGCAGCTTGCTCAGGTGGGTACACTGTCTTCATCTCTCTCTGCAGAAGTTATGGCTGTTTAGTTTTAACACTAGTAGAGCCTTTCTGGGTGCTGTTGACCAAATGGTCCATGTCCTGCTGTGTGTATGCCCAAAATACACAACAGGGGAAGGTTTTCTTTTAAAAGATTTATTCTCAAGAATAATCAGCTACCAATGAATAGTTCCAGATGGCGCACCTAAGTAGCCCTCAGTTGGCCCTTTTATACAGTTATCATTAAAGGATTACAAATAACACAGTTAACACTTTCCAATAGGTTACAAAAGTAGAAAGTTACAATGGTGTGATCTTTCCCACTTACATACCAAAGAAGATGCTCCAGAGCAAGTGGGAGGATGGGGTGCTATTATTTATATAGAAGAGGAGGAGGATGGATTGGGTTGGTGTGAATTGCCCTTTGTGTGAGCTGCTGTCAAGTGCAAACTAGCTTTCTCTGGAATGGTGCCTGGTCAGTGTCAGCTACATTTCAAGGATGCACATATATGGATTTCTAGAAAAGAGGGTTTTTCTCAGGCTTGGTTACATGTCAATGATTTCATGATTATACCAGGGTAAATTATACCTATTGATTTGTACATCAGTGCTGAGGGGCTGGCACTGGGGGAATTGATACTTAGCAGGTACCCAATAATCCTGAGCTTCTTCACTTTCTCAACTCACAACTTTATCTACATTTGCAGCAATACTGAGCAATACACTACTACCAGCTTGTTAATGCTGAACCAATAAATGAAAGATGGCCTACATAATTGTTGAAAGATTAGAATATGAATTTCCTTGCTGTTGTATTATGAATAAGGAGCAAAATGATGGCTTCCAAAGTGCCCTGGGGAAGAAGCGTGGACTTTCAGTTAATCAATTAGTCTAAATATATGTGCTTTGAGGCCCAAATATGGTATAAATAAAGTGTCCTTTGCTCAAACAAGTTCTTTGCTCTAGAACGTTGATAAATTAATAGAAATCTAGTAATTTGTTTGCTATCCATACATTCAACGTTGCTTTAGGGAGATGCTTTTGATTAAAGCATCATCAAAAGTGTCTCCCTGGACAGAAACCTGCTTCAACATCTTGACTGATTAAGAACATTTGTTTCAAAATTTGCTTGTTTTTGGTTACCCTAATAAATGGATTATGCTAATATGGGATGGAGATTTCAGTCCTTTCTTAGACCTTGTTTCAACATGTGCCACTTTTCCCCTCCTTTCTTCTTCCACATGCACCTGGACTTTCCCCATGTCTCATCTGCAAGCATCAATCCTTGTTTCCCCTTGTTTTTCAGCTTTGCTTTTAATTGTTTGTATGTATGTGTGTGTGTGATAAGTCCTCCCTGACTTATGGTGACCCTATGAATGACATCAATTCCCACTGATTTGTTCATTGCTAGGGGTGCATGGGATTGCACTTGTGTGCTCCAAATCCTATGTATGATTACCAGAAATAAATCCCATGCATGTTTACCAGAAATAAATGTGGTTATGCCCAATGAGTGCACAGGATTCCAGAATAGCTATGCCATCTCTAGAGTTTGCTGTCTCTAAGGCTTATTATTCTATGCATACTTACTCAGAAGATAGTCTTAATGTCTTAATGAACTTGGTGAGAATTCTAGGAAGAGATGCAGTTCCATATGTAATGGTGATAGGATTTCAATTTAACTGAAAATATATGCTCTGCTATGCTACGCTAGTCATGAAGTTGCATCTGACCCATTGCGACCCCATGGACAACAGTCCTCCAGGCCTTCCTGTCCTCCACCATCTCCCGGAGTCCATTTAAGCTCACACCGACTGCTTCAGTGACTCCATCCAGCCACCTCATTCTCTGCTGTCCCCTTCTTCTTTAGCCATCTATTGTTCTCAGCATTAGGGTCTTCTCCAGTGAGTCCATCGGTAATAGATGCCAGTAACTATGTTTTTCTTATGTTTGGACCCTTTAAATTAAGCCAGTTGCTTTTGATGGGGCTACTTGTATTTCTGTGCAGATATATGTCTTACATATAGTGCAACTCCATCTTCTTTTTTGTCCTTTCTATTTTTCTTGAGCAGGTGGTATCCATCAATTGTAGAGTGCCAGTCATGTGAGTCATCCCACCATGTTTCAGTTATTCGTATAAGATTGTAATTGCCCTCATGTATTATGTACTATGACCTTTTTTGTTTCCCATACTCTGGGCATAGGAGTAGAGACATCAAAGTTCATTCTGGCTGTGTCCTGGTTTTCTTCCTACGATTTTTAGGACACTGGAGTTGGGCCCTGTTTGAGGATTTTTCTCTGTTGAAATATATAAGTGCTTGTCAGGTGATTGTAAGCCATGCTGCATCTCTCTCTCCTCTATAGGTTTTAGTTTAAAGCCCTCCTGATGAACTTTTTCATGTAGTGGCCAAACATCTGCTTCCCGTTCTTTGTGAGGTACAGTCCATCATTTGCTGATTGTCCATCTTCCAAGAACCTTAGGTTGTGCTCCCAGAATACAAATCTCTCTTTATGGCAGCACCATCATAGCCAGTCATCACTTGAAGGTTTTTTCTTTCCCTAACAGTTTTCTTTCACGTACTGGTAGGATTGAGGAGCAGACTATTTGGGCCCCAGTGGTTGGTTTTTTGTTTTTGTTTTCTCCCTAGAGTTTCAAAGTCTGATGTTATTTCAGCAAAGCTTCTTATTGGCAGTGTTGTTAGTTCCCATGTGGAAGAGAAGGAAGGGGTATTTGTCAGTTGGTTATATGAGTTGCGTGAACTTGTTGGTTATATATTTAATCTTGACACCAGGGAGACAGCATACTTTGTGATTCTCTCGGTCATTGTGACAGACATACCGTATTTTTCGCTCTATAAGATAAATCTGACCATAAGACACACCTAGTTTTTAGAGGAGGAAAACAAGAAAAAAAAATATTCTGAATCAAATGGTTTACTAAACTATTTAATAAACTATAACAGAATACAGTAATACCGTATTTGTAAAGTGAACAGCAGTCAACAGTGGCATTAAGAACCACCATCACTGTCATTAACAAAAGAGAGACTTTAAAGTTTGAGTACTCTTCTAGTTTTCATTGAACCCATAGAACTCATCATCGCTAGAGTCAGAATTTATGAAGCTCTGTTGCTCACAATCACTGACATCACTTTCTTCACTATCTTCATATAAGATATCATCTTCGGTTCCATCCAAAGCATTGCTAATTCCACATTTTTTGAATGAATGTACAACGATTTCCTCCTTCACTGAGTGCCATGATGTTTTCACCCATTGGCAAACTTGAGTGATAGTGGGCCTCTTCATTTGTCCAGTAGGTGTCAGATCATGATTACCAGCAGCCATCCATTTGTTCCACTCTTCTCGCATAAAGACCTTAAATGGTTTGTTGATGGAAACGTCGAGAGGTTGCAACTGGCTGGTAAGACCTCCAGGAATTACAGCTAGATGAGTCTTCACTTCTTTAAAGCACTTTTTTGTAGTATCGCTAATATGTGCTCTAAGCTGGTCAAGCACTAATAAGGCAGGTTTTTTCAGAAGCCCTCCAGGACATTTGGACCACACTTTTTCAACCCATACTCTCATTCCATTTTCGTCCATCCATCCTTTCTCATGAACATGTACAACAACTCCTCTTGGAATCAGTTCTTTTGGAAATGTTTTCCTTTGGAAAATTAACATGGGTGGCAATTTGGTGTCATCTGCACAGCAAGACAACACAACCATGTAATGGGTTTTCTCATGTCCAGAGGTTTTCACGGTGATAGTTTTGGCACCTTTCAAATCAACAGTCCTATTAGATGGCACATCAAAGGTTAGTGGGACTTCATCCATATTCCCAATCTGGCCAATTTCAACCCCATTTTACTTCCTAGCATCAATTACAAATTTCTGAAAAGACAGAATCTTAGATTCATATTCTTTTGGAATTTTTTGCACAATTCTAGTTTTGGTGCGCATAGCAAGGCCATATCACCTCATAAATCTGTAGCACCACAATGGTGATCCAGTAAAATCGTGAATGCCTTTCTCTACAGCAATGCATTTGGCTTCATGTATTATCATTTTTGTAGAGACTGAGAAGCCATTATTCCGGAGATGTGTGATCCATTCTTTCATGGCCACTTCTAACTGTGGCCACTTTGCAGAATTCCCACGAAAAGTGTGCTTAGGGACTTTTATTCGCTTTTTGCAGCTGATCCTCCTGTTTCCTCCACTCTCTTATCATTTT